GGCCTCCAACCAGACAGCGATGGCCTCCAACCTAAAAGAAATGGCCTCCAACCTAATAGCGATGGCCTCCAACCTAAAAGAAATGGCCTCCAACCAGACAGCGATGGCCTCCAACCTAATAGCGATGGCCTCCAAGTCGCTTTTATAGAACTCTGCCAGTGGTCATCCACGGGCCTCACCCAGGGTCCCTCAGTTCCATCGGACAAGATGAACAGCTTCCCACGGCTTCGCTGTGGCACCTTGGGGGCCCTCGCTGAGCTCTTCCTGCAGCTGCCCATCAAACCTGAAATACTTCAAGTGACTTCGATTGTCAATTGTTCCTGTCTGAGCGCAATTTATATACTTAAAGTTTGAACCCTGTTTTTAATGGTAATGTAGTCACTAGCGATCAGTGTCCCCCAAGAAACTCATCGCCACCGACTTGTGGCGAAGTCGAGCTCCGAACCTGTTGGGAGAGCTGCCCAGCGGACTCTCGGGGTCTGGCGGATCGTGCGGCACCCACCGCAGCTGACACAAGAAAAACCTCTCCCTCTCGACCCCAAAAAATCAAGGCATGTGTCTTTGACGGTTCCAAGTTGCGCTATATAGATGTTTCTGCCGGTGCACAAATAGAGAAGTGTACCCAGTTTTTGAAAGAAGGTTGAGGGTGCGAGAACACGCACTCAAATCAAGAAGTGTACCAAAGTTGACCAAGTTGGGGTGAAACCAAAGCCCTTTCTTTGTTCAAGAGCGGCGAAAAAGCAGCCGCTTTGTGTTTGGCGGGTTATGAGCCCAACGACCCTGCCATAGGAAGTAGGAAGTCCACCTCACCGGAGTGAGTGCTGGTCCCCATGGCGTCTCGGTCGCTGCCGGCGGAAGAGTCCACGGGGACTCCGAAAAAAAAGGGGTCCATGACCAGCGCCAAGGAGGATTGGCACTGCCCGGAAGCAGCGGTCCGCGAGGGCCTCCGGTGGTCTATGGCCCGGCTCGACGAGGCGAAGGACGGGAAAAGGAAGGCAAGGGGAAGGGACTACAGGGAAAGGTGGTGACCAACCCCTTCTGGAGTGAACGGCTTCAGAACGAGGTCATGCTCCGGGCTATGCGGCCTACAGCGCTGCCAGCGGCTGATTCAGAGACTGGGTACCACGAGGGCACCTCGGCTTCTGGACGGGTGGAGCCTGGAGAAGAAGGAAGGGGAATCTCGATGGACATCCAGGAGTTGCTGAAGGCAATGATGGCCCAAAACGCAGCCTTGAAGAAAGAGGTGGCGGAACTTCGAAAGACGGTGGAAGCCAAGCCGGCCAAGGCCATTGAAGATCGACCGAGACCACCGACTACTACGCCACCTCCCTCTCCGCCGAAGGCACCGCCCCCCAGTGACGCCGGATCGTGGGAGAAAGCGGGACCCTAGTCAGGCATGGGCCGATGCGGAGATCCCAGAGTTCCCGGGTGGTGGAGCGGGGGCGAAGCAGCAGGCGACTATGAGGAGAGATGGAGATCAACGAAGCTCAACTGTACCCGGAGTGCCAGGTTCTTGGGGAGTTCAAGGGTGGGGACTACAGCCCGGACACCAACGAGGTGAAGATGCAGGACATCAAGAATCTGGTGAGGGAATGCGGGAGCTCATGACGGGTTCTCCATTGGAGCAAGCGGCGCAGTCAGTGCTGCAGCAACTTGGCACCAGTTCGTCGGATGGGAACTGGGGGGGAGGTGATCAGGTCTGTCGAGCTGCCACCATTGCAGGACCTTCGAGAAGGAGATCTTGGGTCGCTGATTTTGGGGGACTGGATTCAGCTCATCACTCCAACGATGAAGGATTTGAGCGCCACGAGTTGGAGGTGGTGGGAGGAGGTGCTGAACTTGGCCATGATCGTTTATAGGGAATGGCTTCAAGCGGAACCAGTCCAGCGACTGTATATCAGGCCTCGAGTGCCTCCGGAGTGCTCTGGGGTTTGGAGTCGGCTAAAGCAGCGAGGGCAGTTGATGCTGATCAATGCAGCTCCGCAGAACATCAAGGCCGAAGTTCTTGCGAGCCGGACTACAAGCTCGGTGGAGGTGCTGTATGCCCTATTCAGGCGATATCAACCGGGTGGCCTGGCAGAGAGATCGAGGCTGTTGAGACAGTTGGTAGAACCGAAGGCTCCTCAAACCATGGACGAGGTGGTGGAGGCACTTCGAGGTTGGAGGAGAAGTCTGAGACGAGCCCAGGAGCTGGACATCGCGACGCCTGATGCCACGCTGTTGCTGGGGGCCTTGGACAAAATGTCGGAGTTGGTGGCACGGACGTCGAGTCAGGTGGCA